CCGAAGGCCCTAGTTATATATTGAAGCATGTGATAATTTCTGAATTATCAACATTTATCACAATGTGAATCTGCTCCTCTTCATCTAGCTACAGTGCTGCCCTTTAAAGCAATTACAGCATCATACAACACATGTTGATATATATCATCATCCACAAGATCAAGCTTTTGATAACCTTCAAACAAAACCAATGCTAGTGTCAACTAACCATTATTCCTTATTATTACCTACCTTGTAAGTATACTTGATCAGAATAATACATAAATTACTGTTGCCAAAGCACTACCTTACACTACACTTCAGTTATTGTTCAACCAAATTTGTCTGATCATACTGAGCCCCCAACATAAACTACACGCTATTCCAATTGTTTTTTTATTTTTACATAGAGATGAGGTTTATGTGAACAATACTGCACTATTTTACACTAGAAATAAGGACTGCAGACAGTACTACATCACCCCACACTAGGGAAGAGTCCCTAGTGATTAGTCTGGAATACTACATAAGTGCTCTTAGATCGACTGTGGTAAGGAGAGTGTTGGTGATTAGATGGGTCTACTTCCTACCCTACATACATGTATACTTGTATTTTGAGATGCTGATTAGCCTACAATGCTGGTTTTGGAGAACCCTACATGGACAGCAGCCTGTGGCTAGTCTGATCAATACCAAAAATCCCTGGGTGACCTGCACAGCTAGCATCTGCAGCAGGCTGGCCTTTGTAGGTCAGCTCCACACACTAATGAATTCCACTTACTCAGAAAAATCAATGGCAGTAGGGAAAGGACACCTGTGTTGTTGCTTTCCCTCAACCATATTGATACTGTGTCAGAAAGATGGCATCACCAACCCTCAGACAATAGGTGGGGGCATCATCCTCCATTAGCAAATTTGTGGAGACATCACCACCCATCAGCCAATAAATAGGCAAGGGCAATCATGTCTCAACCCATAGGTGGGGGCATCAGAACTCTTCAGCAAATAGATGGGGGCATCATCCTCCCACAACCAATAGGTGGGGACATGACTACCTCTCAGTCAATAGGTGGGGATGTCAACATCCTAAAACCAATAGGTTGGGGGGGGGGGGATCACCATCTCTCAGCAAATATGTAGGGGCATCACCATCCCCCAACTAATAAGTGGAAAAACATTCCTCCCTCAGCCAATATGGTGGACATCAACACCCCTTAGGCAATAGGTGGGGGCATCATTGTCCCTCAGCCAATAGGTGAGGACAGCACCATCCCTAAATAGCAAAATTATCAACCCTTGGTCAAGAAAGGGACAGTTACTTCCCACAGGTTAGTCAGAGGCAGCACCATCCCTTAGTAACCAGAAAGTAGCATAATGCTTCATTAAGTGGAGGCAGCACAGCCCCCTAGTCAGACTAGACTGTGTGTATTTCTGTTGAGAAAACCTTAATTTAAACTTGTACACCTTGGGTTCTTTTGTCAAATAATGAAACTATGTTAGGATGGAAACTTTTTTACAAAAAGTGCATTGGTGAGATGACCTGCAATCCTTACTAGAAACTGCCATCAAGAAAAGGTGGAAAATCAATAAGTTTTTACAGACAGGCTTACTAGCACTGAAAGTACCATCACTTTAAGTATGTATACTTACAGCTAACTTGTTCACTTTCGGAAGCGGCATTTAGAATTTATGACTATTAATAGAAACACATCATGTGAACAGTAGACAAAAGAATCTATGTAGAACCACATATTAAGCAGTCACCAGCTGGTTGTTGAAAGTAAGAACTTTGACCTGTCAAAGGCTAGCTGTACCAGCCACCGTCTGGATGTACTTACTAGTATAAAAAAAATGTGAATTTTTGTCATCATGGTATAAAATCTGTTTTAAACAGACAAAAAAACTAAATGAAAATATCCTTAAAATATCCTTTGAATTGAAAATCAAGCAAAGATAATTTAAGTAATGTTACATATTTATTGCTTCCAGATTTGAAATTCTGACCTCTGTATTTTTTAGTAGAAGTTAAGATCATTCACCCATGGCCAAGTTTAAAGTCACCCTACCTCATAGCCCTTACCTCTGATAATTTTTGTTACAGGAAGATAATCCAGCATTCCATTATATCAAGTGTCAACTACTTGAAATATCAAGCAATATAATTATAATAACATGTATCAACTAATCAGGTTATAATCAATATACATATGTAAACAAAACCAGAATGATTAATTAGAAATGTAATGCATTATGTTAAGTGTCCGCGACCCAAGCACCTTACAGGCACACATCACATACAATGAGCACAAAATCTGAGACAAGATACAATTGCTTACATCACTCAACTTTTGTTATATACTGTATATATTTACAATTTTTATGAAAACTTTAAATTGAATCTCACAAAATACAACTCAACATGTATCTATAGCATGATCTGAAAATGTGAACACATTCAAATGTTAATGAAATGTCCAAGCAGTTGAGTTTGATGAAAAATAAGTGAAAATAAATTTTGAATTATTTGATATGAATCATGAAAAGCATTGTTCTGTCCTTAATTAATGGGGTTGACATATACCAGTGTGTGATTGTTGCTTTGTCCTCCTCAGGGTAACAGTATATGATATAGTTATATTGATCAGACTTCTATGGAGTGACATGTACAGTAATGTGATAGCATTCTGCCCTCCTCAGGGAGACATGTACAGTAATGTGATAGCATTCTGCCCTCCTCAGGGTGACATGTACAGTAATGTGATAGCATTCTGCCCTCCTCAGGGTGACATGTACTAGAATGTGATAGCATTCTGCCCTCCTCAGGGAGACATGTACAGTAATGTGATAGCATTCTGCCCTCCTCAGGGAGACATGTACAGTAATGTGATAGCATTCTGCCCTCCTCAGGGAGACATGTACAGTAATGTGATAGCATTCTACCCTCCTCAGGGAGACATGTACAGTAATGTGATAGCATTCTGCCCTCCTCAGGGTGACATGTACAGGAATGTGATAGCATTCTGCCCTCCTCAGGGAGACATGTACTAGAATGTGATAGCATTCTGCCCTCCTCAGGGTGACATGTACTAGAATGTGATAGCATTCTGCCCTCCTCAGGGAGACATGTATAGTAATGTGATAGCATTCTACCCTCCTCAGGGAGACATGTATAGTAATGTGATAGCATTCTGCCCTCCTCAGGGAGACATGTACAGTAATGTGATAGCATTCTGCCCTCCTCAGGGTGACATGTACTAGAATGTGATAGCATTCTGCCCTCCTCAGGGAGACATGTATAGTAATGTGATAGCATTCTGCCCTCCTCAGGGAGACATGTATAGTAATGTGATAGCATTCTGCCCTCCTCAGGGAGACATGTACGAGAATGTGACAGTGTTGTTCTGCCTTCCCCAGGGGTGACTGGTACTGTAATGTGGTAGCATTTTGCCCTCAACAGGATGACATGTACTAGAATGTGACAGTATTGTCATACCCTAACAGATGTGACAGGCACCATGGTTATATTTTTCAACCCTCACAAGCTGTAATATTACCAGTAATAAATGATGGAGTATAACTGCTCTCACCAGAGGTAATATGTACCAGTTTGTAAAACAAAATGTTGTGCAATCTCCAGGGATGTACCAGTATGTTAAGTGGTTTTCTGCAAATCCCAAGGATATATATAACATCCTATTATATGTAACAGAATTTTCCTGTCCTAGCCAATGCACATTTATAACTGGATAATCATACCCTAGGAGACCATCATCGTTACACTGAATTGTTTGCAGCACTCCTTCCCCAAAACAGTGCTTAATTACAATTATTTTCTGTACACTGCTTCAAAACTGTAGCTGCAGAATAAGTGATCCTAACAATTCCACTGTTGAATTTCATGATGAAAACTTGTCACTAGTTTACTGCTATATCTGTCATAGGATATAAGGGTAGAGATCTGTCTTAACTTCACTGAAAGTTCGAGCCAAGAACCCTGCTGAATTCTGCTGAAAGCTCTTCTGTATCAATTCTGCATATAGTAACATACCCACTGATGTTTAATTGGAACATAGACCTATGCTGCAACTCAAAAATACCGGGAAGTAAGTTTGTGCTGCACTGGAGTACCTTAGCTATACTCTGTTTACTTTTTTGTAGTAATTTTTTGTAGCAGAACGAATACATGTTTCTCAGAAAACACTACACCATTACAGCGGTTATCCTATTATCATTACCTCTGAGTCAAAGGCGGATGTAGTCTTGTCATAGGACAATGTATATAATTTGTGCATTAGTCTGCTGAACAACAATTGAAATGGTGGGCTTAATATCAGACATGGTCTGACTGCTTGACAAATACAGTACACTGTGTTGAAGCATAGGTCTATTAATTATACAATAAAACATAGTATATTACAATAACTGTATTTACTCTACAGTATGTTGAAGTATCAGAATTTGATGTAATTCAACATTAATTTTGAATCATGTAACACATAAGTGTAACTTATTCAAAATAAGAACTTATTGATATCACATAGGCATAAACACTGCAACTACAGAGTGCCGATCTACATTGAACTACGACACATCAATACAGTATGCACCGACAATAAGCACTCCTCTTCACAACACACCTTCTCTTCACAACACACCCCTTCCCAATGGTAAGACATCTTATAATGTTGTCTACTTGGCTGCAGGGGACTCTGGGGATCGCAATGTTAATGAAGCCACTTTTGTTTCACTGCAATACAACATGATTCTTAATCAACACAGGTTATTTTTTATACTCCATCTCTGACATACAAATATATATGTATGCATATGTACACTAATTCTGTTTGTGGCATGGAGTACAAAGGTTGAACTAAGACAAGTGATTAGCCCAACTAATAACAGGACTGGCTCTTCTGGGGAGTTTCACACAATAAGGCTCCCTTTGGTAGTATCCTGAAGCACAACACTGGAGGCCTTGGAGACCTGCCATATGTGAGCAGGATAACACACAAAGGTATGTATGAACTTATTTTTCAGCTTTCACTACAATTGATGAACCACTAACTATGAAGTCCTAAGCTTCAACCATCATTATCGTACCAAATTCTGAGTGTCTGTTCCAGAAGTAGCCGTGGAGCTGTTATTTACTGTATCAAAGTTGAAATCTAAAGTGCCTTCAAGACTGAGTTCATGTTGGAGCACCTGTTCCATGTCGCATCCCAAATCAAAAAAGTCAGCTTCAATTTCATTAAGGGAGTTAGAGCTGGGAGCAGTGGGTGGCATATTGGCCATCCCCTGTTCCTGAGGTGATATGTTCTGTCTATTGGATGATGTTAGCACAAGTTGAGGACTGTCAGAGGACTGACGAGGAGCACTGCCAATATTACTCAACAGACCTAATTGCTGCTGCTGTTGCTGAACCTGCTGCTGCTGTTGTGTTTGTTGTTGCTGTTGGCGCATGGTGGAGGCAACATTGTTATTGATTCCATTAAGACCAGGAGCAGGTTGTTGTGGCCTCATGTTGAGCTGCGTGTTGCCATAGCGCACATTGTACTGTGGCTGTGTGGAGGGCGTGGAGGACATGGGCATCTGTGGGTATGGGAGTGTTTTCTGCTGAGCCAGACCTGAGTTTTGTGTAAGGGCTGCTCTCAACAGCGAGTCTGATGGTGCCTCAAGACACTGCTGCAGGATGGAGTGTTGCTGGCGACTGGTGAGCTGTGGGGACAGTTGCTTGGCTTGTGGGGAAGGAGAGAACCCCACCCGACTGTCGTATTGAGAGGGGCTGATCTGCTGGCAACCTTGGGGAGATCTGGCTGGAGAGGACAACTGTTGTTGTTGGGTGTTGACACTAAGCTGACTGGAGCTAGGGCTGATACGGGCTTGTTGCAGCAACATGTCTCCAGTGAACAGTCCTGTATCTGTTGTCTGTCCAAACATTCCAAGGGTATTCTGCTGTGAAATACCTAGGTCCGAAAAGTTGCCATTCTGTGGGAGCTGGTCCACACCCTGCTGCTGTGGGCTGCGGCGCATTGCGTCCCTGTAAGGGGGTGGGGCAGGCATGTTCCTGTACTGAGCATCATCATAGTTGGCACTTTGATTACTAAACTGGGACAGATTTACATTGTCACTAGTAGGCATAAGCTGCTGTTGTAAGCTGGACTCTGTAAGCATTTCTATATCACCTTCCAGGCCCCCCAGTCCCCCACCATTGTCAATACCTAGACTGAGGCCACTCTCCCCCAGCTTCATGCTGTCAACAAGAGTGTCCACCAGCCGGTCATACTGTCCCAACTGATCGTAACTAGGCACAGTCCCTTCTTCACTTCCCCATGGAATAGGCGACATAGGTGGCACCTGGTTGTCATGGAGATCAGGCTCAATGCCAGCCTGTATTGGGGAGAGGCGGCCACAACTACTGGCATTTGAACTTGTCCTCTGTCGGAACTCTGGACTAAGCTGGAATCCCAGTGGAGAGTCATTAAGATAGTCGTCCGTAGTGGACGATGGACTGTTATTATTCTCTAGAGCTGCACGTAAAGCTTCCACCTTTTTCTTTACCCTTCCCCGCCTTTTCTCATAGCTTTTTGTTTCCATGCTACCAGCACGTCTGCGGGGTGTTTTTCCAGGTTTGGCGTCTGGGTTGATGACCCACCAAGAACTCTTCCCTGTGCCTTCATTTTGAATTCTCATAAAGCGACTGTGCAAGGACAAGTTGTGTCGTATGGAATTCTGTGAAAAGAAAGAAAAAAAGTGGTAAACCAATGTAATGGTAAGAGTTATTCACAAAAGAATAAAATACAATCATACAAGAATTTTGTATCCACCTGGCATCCATCATATTATGTAAGAGTGTTTAGGTATTTTTGGGATCACTTTGTTTTTTTTTTTTTTTTTTGGCAGTCTTGTAGTAAATGAAATAATGTGATAAGTAATGTGTTGTAAAGATTCCATTCCATTATCTCTGCTGGACCCACTAATCCCTCCACCCTTACTAGAGACCCATCATTTCCTATCCTTTGTGTCACAAATGCTAGATCCAAGCCTATTTTTAAACCCTTATAACAATGCAAGCCTATGTTAAATTGCATCTTCTAAATAATGAAATCCCTTTACTAACTGCTGTACATGTCATGTTATCAATAGTAGACAATTTATATCTGTTACTGTAAATACATACCCAGGTATATGCACCTAACAGAGTGAAATATGGTGAAAATATAAGTGCAGTAAAATCTTCCTTTGTCCATCAACCTTTGTATATATACAACTTGGAAAGCATTATATCATGGTGTGAATGTGTGGACACTTTTACCTTAAACCTTGACCAATGACCACCAAATTTTAATGTACGTTTTATGTGATACTTCATTAATAATGTTAACTAAATCAGTTCAAGGATTCATGGTGTATCTTGAATGTAACTTTTTGATTTTGAAAGCAGTGAAGTAAGACCTTAGACCCTTCAACTTTCAGCAATGATGTTTTGAGTACTATGGTGAAAATATTTATATGAAATATGTTAAGGGGAACACAAGCTTAAGGCTGCTGACAACACTGGCACAGAGAAATTGATCACTGGCTTTTTTCATTGGTTTCTGGATGGAGCATTCGATTTTTGCTTCAGTTTGCAAAGACAAGATGCTTATAGGGCCTGTATCGCTCACCTAGCTTCTAGCTTTTTGTTTGGCTGAAATTTCTTTATCCAAACTGAAAGAAAAGGAATTCTAAAGGTTTATATTTATTTCCCCATTGTGAATGCAACAATTTAAAAGACTACTTCATCAAAGAATGGTGCATGCCAAATTAAAGCAGAATACTGTCCTGTTCACCCTAGGATGCTTCAGACCAACTTTGGACAGAACTTTGACATTCCCACAGAAGCAAAAGGACATTCTCCTACCTGGCTCTCTGAGATAAAGGTTGGACAAAATCCAACTATTTGGAGAGAAGAAGAAAGATTTTAAAGAATTTGCTAAATTTCCACCTCTTGACCTTTCCCCTCTGGCCCCGGATTAGTGGGGGGTTAAGACCTATCACTTAAACAAAATTGATCAGGGAGTTCTCTTTCCTCAAGAATGCTTCAGGTCAAATTTTGTCAAAATCCACTAAGTCTTGCATGACTAGAAAATTCTGATGGATGAGAGATGGGGGCCTCAGTCCTATGGACTAGGTGGGCTTAAAATTGATGAAATTGAAGAAAATTTTAAGGAATATATTGCAACTTTTGGGCATTGGTTTTAAATATGAATATTTCAAAAAGGACCCATTAATGTCCTCAAAAAAAGGTTCCGGATCAATTCTTGTATACCCCTCTTCACTAAGTTCCGGGTACACTGATAAAATTGTACTGGTACTCTTTCACACTGTTATTCCAGTTTATTTTTCTTTGCTTTCATAAAGTCCATGGCTGCTATAAAATTTGGTATGCCTTATGCCAAGGTCTTATACTTGCATGTATATCAAGTTAATTTTTATGTTTATTTCAAAGTTAAATAGCAAGTCTAGCAAGGAATTTATCAATAGCATTTAACTACAATTTATATATATAAAAAGCTGTAATCATGATCATACAATTTGTATCTGGTGAAGTGTAAGTAGATGTGGTGCTTCAGCCATTGCTCCAACTGTATTTTAAAATAATGCATCATTTATAAATAAGTACAGTACAGCAAGAAGGTGGTCATTCAGAATGCATATATGTTTCTTTATCATGTTATATGTGTACATGTATACACAAGTTAGTGACACAAGACATGTGTATATATGTCTGGCTATGATGTGTAATTATATACACACTAGGCAATACACCAGGTACCCACATGCCTCGAGATTTGTAACCTTCACTCCTGGCAGAAAGTTCACTATGCTAGGTCATCACATCGAACCTTATCTACAAAAGCTATTTATAAAAATGGGCTCCTGCTTAATTCACCACCAATACCTTGTAATAACATTACAGATAGAGGGCCTCGCTCTGATAAGGGGGTCACCATTGTATGCTCAGGACATTGTGCTCCCTGTCAAATCTGACAAGTGGCAAATACAGGCAGTAAATGTAGACATGTGACATCCTGATCACATCAAGACAATTGTCCCCAAGACACCATGCCTATAGTACATGTGGAGGTGTGTGTTGCTAATATCATTATATTTGTGTGACTAACATTACCATGAATACATGCACATGTATCATGGCCAGTGACCGGATAGTGCCCCTACTTTTTGGCAATAATCTTTGATTGTGGTTTAAGATCAAGACTACCCATGGTCAGTGACCAGATCAATGTAAATATTTTATATACCTTTGGTCTTCCTTGCCCTGTGATCATTGGTTAAATCTGACATAGCACTCCACCTCTGGCCTATATACTACTGGTCTGTGATCAGTGCTACTTACACAGTTCTCAATATACAACATCTACTAGACTGACCAGGTCTAGACAGTACTGTGTTGCAGACAAGGGAAGGAGTGAAGATGTATATAACAAGGCTGGTATACAAACTAATTTTGCTGTAATTCAGCTGCATTAGGGCAGTATTCTCTCAGTTTTGACACCTGTTCTTCATCCTTTACTGTGAGAAGGAAGTAAGCTTTACTCTCTGCTATGCTGTATCAATCAAGCGTGTACCACACATTGTACTCTCAGTCAAGACCATGACAAGATCAATCATATCAGAAGTAAACACCATACAGGTAGCTATATTGCAGGTAAAAGAAACAGCAATAAGCTAACCAATACTGGTAAATACACCTAACCATGTATAATGAATGGGAGGTGATGATTGGAATATGTGAACAACTGGGAGAGATTCATATATGTACTATTGTATGATGACCTGGACAACATTGAACAAGGCAGACTTTGTCATTTAGATCTATGTTGAACACTTCTCCATGTACACATGGTTTATTTCTTCTGGAAGGGACAGGATTAGAGAAATTTTCAAACTCATGAGAGACCCTGGAAAAAAGGTCTCACTCTATAACAGATATCCTTTTCTAATGTAAAGGTTTGAATTATATAACAGATCACATATTTTAAACAAAATGCATTAAAATCCATTTACATATTGTTATGACTTCTGTGAAAAATATGTTCACTATCTGCTTCTAGCTTTTGGTAAAAACATGAAAATTTGAACCATCACAAACATAATCTTTAGAGTATATATACCATAAAAGCTCAAAAATAAGATGCTGATGATTTCCTCTAATAGTAATTTAAGAAAATGAAGCATTAGTTATATCATTTTTATTGATGTTATTTTCAGGATAGACTTCATGGTTGGTGTGTCTTCAAGTTTTCAGCATAACAACTTTCAGTAAAAGGGAACTACAATGTGTTTATATTTGAAACAAAGATAAAACCCACTGATTTCCCAGAGAGGAGTAGGGGATGATCCAAAATTGCATTAATATACATGTAACAAAAGCATTCTAGAGAATGGAACACCAAGTTGGTCATGTTTATGATGCAGTCATATTCCTACATTCCCTTAGGGGAAGGGACACTTGAAAATTCAATAAACTTTTAGTACCAAGCGTCTCTAGATCAGACAAGATGTATGGCCATCAAAATTCTGAAGCAGAAAAGATAGTCTATATATGCCAGTACATATACATAATGCATCTTAATTAAACTGTGACAAGAAGAGCCTTTCTTCTTCCATGAAGTCCCCCGGGGAATAAAGACTTTTTTTTCTTCTCTCAACCAGAGTCAGCAGTTCTGCTGTACATTTATTCTAGACACAATAGCTAGCCAGCCAGCCACCACTCAAAATCAATACAACTTCGACTCTGGCACGTCTAGCATGTCCCTCCAATGCTATACTCCTTTAGATGATCATTTGATCTACCATTTCACTAAACTGGCTTCTGTAGATTAAAGCTCCAATATATGCAACTTTCACAGAAAAGTCTAACAGAAAAAAAAAATCGATTAAAAGCATTTTGTCTTATGTTTGATAATGTTAAATACAGATATCAATTAGCTGTAATGATAAAAATTGAAACTATTCCGATTAAACCAGGAAAACGTTCGGAATAGCTGCGGCAGATAGCTCAAAACATACTTTCATGAACTGCAGTAATTTGTCTAATAAAGAAATACAATAGATTATATGACTGTAGATATATTATCTGTTCATGAATCTGTAGAATCTTTTGAACAAGATGATTCAGACATATTTGTGTTTTTGCTTGGTGGCAACAATCCATTTGCAAGGAAAATGAACAGCCAGGCATGACTGAATGTAATGCTTACTAATCCAAAATTCTCATGCCTATTTGTATGATATCAATTGAAACAGAATAAGAACATCAGCCTCAATAAAATGTATGTGGTTTGGTGAGATTGTGTAGACAAAGATGTAGTTTTGGTTGGTGCATTTGTAAATAAGTATATGGTCTTTTGTCTTATCATGTTAAAAGATGTATTGATTTGTGTATGTAAAGGTTTCCTGAAGAAAAAAATCTCCATTTGAGGAGGAAATAAAGATTCAGTCATTCATCAATTTACGTCATTGTAGTACAAAGTAACTTATCTGAGAAATAGTGTGTTTATATTGTTATCAAAATTCACTCTTTGCAAATATACCTTTATTTAAAATCGTTGCTGAAAATGTTGGAAAATCCCCTTGACATTTCCTTGAGAGGTTGGTATTTACTGTAAACATGTGTATGTCCTATATCAGACTAGTTACACACTGACCCCCAAATAACTATACAC